ATCTAATCTGACCGGCGGGTGTACGACCGTACATCCCCACATCCAAAGAGACTGGACTGAAGCAGGGGCTGATATTGTGTGTGTGTGTGTGTATGAGTGTGTATGAGTGTGAGCACCTCGAACAGGTGTTGGTGGGACAGGTTGCTGCGGGGATTCAGCTCGAAGATGAGGACGTGGTTGACCCCCGCCTGCCTCCAGCCGTACGTGTTAATGCCCAACAGAAAGAGGAACTGGATGAGCAGGAAGCTGCCGCGATACATCCGCACCATCGGCCAGATGTTCTTATCATGGAAGAAAACAGCACCTGGAGGACCAACCAGCAGGGTATTGGCATTAAAGTGACAGTTTAGTGGGACACAAATCGAATTCCCACAGTTTTCCACACTCTTACCCCAAAAACAACACCAGCTAATGAATAAACTCATGCATGCAAGCACAAGAGCACTCAGACCTACTATAAATGTTACGTTCAAGTGTTTATGAGTAGTAATTTAGGGGTCAAACCAGCCCCCCCACCTACACCTGCAGCCCCAGTTTGCTGACTGTAACTCGTAGACGTGGACGGAGATTAGACTGAACTTAGCTTTTTATTCGGATTTCTCATTCCACCTTAAATGATGCACTATTTAAGGTGGAACGGAAATTCCGATGAGAACATTAGCCTCGAGAGATGATCACATTCAGCGTGACGATGTGGAGCTGCTATCACAGTCAGAGCTCCGCTGAGTTTATTACTGATTTCACAATATTCATACATGAATTATGTGAAGATGGACAGCAGCAGAAAGAACTGCAGGAAAAGGTGTGAAAAGCCAGTTAAGGAGGATGAGGAGATATCTGAGCAGGTGGGAAACTAACCTGGGGAAGTTAACTCAGGTTAGCTCAGGTAAGTAAACGAGTGACTTCTTATTACCCTTTAATAACTGCCCCAAGTTTTACTTGAAATATTGAATAATACATCTACAGCTGACAGATATTTCTCAGTGGACGTCGAAAAATTTTCTACAATTAAATCATGAAAAAACTGAAATACTGGTACAGAAACTTGGTTCTTCAGCTTCATAAACCAAACCTGAAGGACGAAGCCTGGGTGTGATCTTAGGCTCTGGGCTCTGTTTTATCTGCATGTAAACACAGTCACTAAAGCAGCTTTGGTAACACTTTCTATGAATGTCACCTTTGTAAGCATCTATAAACACATTCATAACATGTTATAAAGCATTCATAAGATATTATAAACATGGCTATAAATATTTATACAAATGCATACGTTATAGCCATGTACACCACCATTAGCTTGGTATTTGTCTTTACGCTCTCCAAGCTGGGACTGACTTCTTTGGCACTGACAGTATAACGTTATTAACACTATTTATAATGCATTAAATTAACAATTCATAATGTATAATAAACATGGCTATAAAGTGTAATTCAGTTTTATAAATGTTTATAATCATGTTTATAATGCCGTATGAAGGCATTATAACATGTTATAAATGTGTTTATAGATGCTTCCAAACGTGACATTCATAGAAAGTGTTACCGCAGCTTTTTATCATATGAGAAAATCACTAAAGTTCAGCCTTTTCTCTCTCAGAGCGACGCAGAGAAACTTGTTCATGCATTTGTTACAAGCAGAGTTGATCACTGTAATGATCTTCTTACTGGACTTCCTAAGAAAACTATACATCCTTTACAACTGATACCAAATGCAGCAGCATCCTAACAAAAACAACACAGAGAGATCAGATCAGTCCTGTTTAAAAGAGCTGCACTGACTGTCTGTATCACTCAGGATAGAGTTTAAAGCTCTACTAGTTTTTAAGGCTCTAAATGACCTTAAAGTACTGCTTACATCACAGAGTGTCTGTCTGTTTATGGTCTTAGATCTGCAGATACTGACCTTCTGTAAACACCTTCAGTAAAATACAGAAAACGTGGAGAGACTCTTTCAGTTATTCTGCTTCTAAACTGTGGAGCTCAGTTCACCTTTTATTAGACAGTCAAGCTCAGAGCTCACTTTTAAGAAGCATCTAAAAACGTCTCTCTTTAACTCAGCATTTAATTAAAACTCTACGTCTCGTGGTTTTAATCTTCTAATCTGATCTGTTTCATTTTCTCCAGATTCTAAATAAATACTAATGATTATTTGTATAACTATGTTCTATCATCTGTCTGTAAAGCACTTTGAGCTGCCACCAGCATGAAAAGTGCTCTATAAATAAATATTATTATTATGATTATTTTATGGTCCAGTTTAGAGTACTTAAATCTGCATTACTGCATTGCTGAGCCCCTTTTTTATTTTGAGATATGTACTTTTTTAATTTTTAAAGCAGTACTTTAATTTCTTTTAATCCCTTTTCATTGTCTTTTATTTTGAGCTCCTAAATTTATTGCTTTAACTGTGCCGGGTGCAGCGAGGATGATGATGGTACCTGTGAGGACGAAGGCTACGGTCAGGACGATGAAGACCCCACAGTACAGCCCCACTCTGAACGTCGTCCATGCAGGAGCAGGCTGGGGGGGGGCAGAGTAAACACTAGCCATTACACACTACAGAGTACAAAAGTAGAAGTACGAAAGCTTCTTCAGTACTGAGTAACTTCTTAGAACATCCAGCATCTCCCAGTGCAGGAACTGTGAGGATTAAACAGCTTTCATAATCAAAATTCCCACTCCACCTTAAATGGTGCAGATATTACATGTAACAGCTGCAGCATTTAAGGTGGGATGGAAAAAAACCCAAAGAAGATAATTAAGAATAAATATTAATGACTAAAATGGAACTGAGGGAAAAGTCCTCACTGATATACCTGAGCAGAAGCAAAAGCATAATCATTTAAAAATCCTCCGAGAAATTAAAATCCATCAAAGTTTGAAGTGAGTAAAAGTAACTACCTGTGCGGCTCCTAATGGAGGGACCCTCAGCCTCTTCATGGCTCGCTGCCGATCGCCCCCCTCCAGCTCCGTCGTCACCAGCGTCTACATACACACAAACCGCAAAGGTCAAACTACTTTACTCTTAAATGCAGGTCACTAGTGACCTTCGACGTCATCCTTTTTCATATAAGGGACATTTAAACATCAAAATATGACAAAAATGATTATTTTGTTATTTTGTTATTGTCAGTGGAATATTTTGTCCGGGTGCAACCAGAGAGGATTCATGAAGCGAGAGCCATCATTAAGGATTAAACGTCTATTAATTTTAGGGTCAAACTCCCAGTAATTTCAGGGTTAAACATCCATTAATTTAAGGGTTAAACTGCATTACTTTAAGGGTTAAACTCCCATTAATTTAAGGGATAAACTTCTATTAATTTAACTGTTAAACTCCCATTAATTTAAGGGATAAACTTCTATTAATTTAACTGTTAAACTCCCATTAATTTAAGGCTTAAACATCCATTAATGTAAGGGTTAAACTCCTATTGATTTACATGTAAAAATCCCAATTAATTAAGGGTTAAATGTCCATTAATGTAAGGGTTAAACATTCTTTAATTTAAGGGTCAAACACCCATTAATTTAAGGGTTAAATGTCCATTAATTTAAGGGTTAAATGTCCATTAATTTAAGGGTTAAATGTTCATTAATTTAAGGGTTAAACACCCATTAATTTAAGGGTTAAATGTCCATTAATTTAAGGGTTGAACACCCATTAATTTAAAGGTTGAACACCCATTAATTTAAGGCTTGAACACCCATTAATTTAAGAGTTAAACACCCATTAATTTAAGGGTTAAACACCCATTAAATGACCTTAAAGCATTAAGGTCCTTAAATAAATAACATTTATTTAAGGGTTAAACACCCATTAATTTAGGGTAAATGTCCATAATTTAGGGTGAACACCCATTATTTAAGGCTGAACACCCATTAATTTAAGGCTTGAACACCCATTAATTTAAGGGTTAAACACCCATTAAATGACCTTAAAGCATTAAGGTCCTTAAATAAATAACATTTATTTAAGGGTTAAACACCCATTAATTTAAGGGTTAAATGTCATTAATTTAAGGGTTGAACACCCATTAATTTAAGGCTTGAACACCCATTAATTTAAGGGTTAAACACCCATTAAATGACCTTAAAGCATTAAGGTCCTTAAATAAATAACATTAATTTAAGGGTTAAACACCCATTAATTTAAGGGTTGAACACCCATTAATTTAAGAGTTGAACACCCTTAATTTAAGGGTTACACTAATGGTTTGAACACCAGCTCTTCAGTGTTAGCGAATGTAATTTTATCCGTAAGGGCTTTAAGGGTTAAAGCGGAGCTGCTTTGTGCAGGTGTGGGTACCTCAGTCTCTGAGATGAGCTGTGTGATCTTCTTGCAGGTGTAGAACGGAGCCACCTCCACATGAGCCACGCGCCAGTCCGCCCCACGCGACGTCTCCAGGATCTTATCATGCTTCTTCAGAATCTTCCGGAAACCAGTGAAGTTCAGATTCTGCAGGAGGAGAAAGGATAACAGCTTCACTTATTATTAGGAAAATCACTTTCGTTATTATATACATTCCCTCATTGTTATTATTTGCTTTAGTTATTATCTACACAAATTATTTTTAGTTATAATCTACATCATCTCAGGAGTGAACTGGTAGAAAATACAGACTAGGCAGGTAGAGAGAAAGAGAGAGAGGGTGATAGAGAGAGGTGTATTCAGACTAGCCTGGTAGTTCTGCAGTAGGATGAGGCTGAGGTAGAGAGAGAGAGAGAGAGAGAGAGAGAGAGAGAGAGAGAGAGTGATAGAGAGAGGTGTATTCAGACTAGCCTGGTAGTTCTGCAGTAGGATGAGGCTGAGGTAGAGAGAGAGAGAGAGAGAGAGAGAGAGAGGGTGATAGAGAGAGGTGTACTCAGACTAGCCTGGTAGTTCTGCAGTAGGATGAGGCTGAGGTAGAGAGAGAGAGAGAGAGAGAGAGAGAGAGAGAGGGTGATAGAGAGAGGTGTACTCAGACTAGCCTGGTAGTTCTGCAGTAGGATGAGGCTGAGGTAGAGAGAGAGAGAGAGAGAGAGAGAGAGAGAGAGAGAGAGAGAGAGAGTGATAGAGAGAGGTGTATTCAGACTAGCCTGGTAGTTCTGCAGTAGGATGAGGCTGAGGTATAGAGAGAGAGAGAGAGAGAGAGAGGGTGATAGAGAGAGGTGTATTCAGACTAGCCTGGTAGTTCTGCAGTAGGATGAGGCTGAGGTAGAGAGAGAGAGAGAGGGTGATAGAGAGAGGTGTACTCAGACTAGCCTGGCAGTTCTGCAGTAGGATGAGGCTGAGGTAGAGAGAGAGAGAGAGAGAGAGAGAGAGGGTGATAGAGAGAGGTGTATTCAGACTAGCCTGGTAGTTCTGCAGTAGGATGAGGCTGAGGTAGAGAGAGACAGAGAGAGAGTAAGAGAGAGAGAGGGTGATAGAGAGAGGTGTATTCAGACTAGCCTGGTAGTTCTGCAGTAGGATGAGGCTGAGGTAGAGAGAGAGAGAGAGAGAGAGAGAGAGGGTGATAGAGAGAGGTGTACTCAGACTAGCCTGGTAGTTCTGCAGTAGGATGAGGCTGAGGTAGAATTCGCTGAAGGCCAGTTTCAGGTCTTTGATGTTTCGGTGCTTGTTGCGCTCCTCGTGGGTCAGGGGGAAGACCGTTTTCCTGCGGTTCCTCAGGCCCGGAGCGTTACTCTCCCGCTGAGCGTCCAGTGACGACTGCAGCTCATTCTGCAGAGTGGCAAACCGCCGCTGGGCCTCCGCTAGCTTTTCTACACACACAACACACAGACGAAGAATATCAGTCACAACCAGAACCTCAATCAGAATCAGAACCATAATCAAAATATTAATCACAACCAGAACCACAATCAGAAACAAAACCACAATCAGAATCAACATCAGAATCTGAATCAGAATCACAATCAACATATCAATCACAATCAGAACCTCAATCAGAATCAGAGCCACAACCAGAGTCATTACCAGAATCAGAACCACTATCCGAATCAGAACCACAATCAGAATCATTATCAGAAATCAGAACCACAATCAGAATCAATATCAGAATCAGGACCACAATCAGAATCAACATCAGAATCAGAATCATAACCACAATCAGAAACAGAACCACAATCAGAATCAACATCAGAATCTGAATCAGAATCACAATCAGCATATCGATCACAACCAGAACCTCAATCAGAATCAGAGCCACAACCAGAATCATTATCAGAATCAGAACCACTATCAGAATCAGAACCACAAGCTGAGTCAAAATCAGAATCAGAACCACAATCAGAATCAATTTCAGAATCAGAGCCACAATCAGACTATCATTCCCAACCAGAAACAAAATCAGGCTCAGAACCATAATCAGAATCAAGACCACAATCAGAATCAGAACAACATTTAGAATCATTAACAGAATCACAATTGGAATCAGTCACCATCTGAACCACAATCACAACCAAAATCATACAATCAGAATCACAATCACAAGGAGAAGCATAGTCAGAACTACAGTCATAACCACAATCACTACCACAATCACAATCAGAACCACAATCACTCTCAGAACCACAATCAGAATCACAATTAAATCACATACTGAGTCACAATCTGATCCAGAGTCAGAACTACAATCAGAACCACAATTAGAATCAGAATCACACTCAGAATTACAATAAGAACCATTATAAGAATCACAATAAGCATCAAACTGACAATCAGAACTTCCATCAGAACCTTAATCATAATCACAATCACAACTCAGCACTATAATCACAATGTCAGTCAGAGTCACAATCAGACACAAAGAGCCACAATTACAATCAGAACCACAATCACAATGAGAATCACAATTAGAATCAGAATCACCTTGAGAATTGGAACCACATTCAGAGTCAGACAGAACCACAAGCAAAATCACAGTCACAATCAGAATCACAACTAAAACTACAATCAGAACCACGTTCAGAATAACATTCACAATCAGAACCAGAATCAGAATCAAAACTACAATCAAAACCACATTCAGAAATACAATCAGAATCAGAGACACATTCAGAAACAGAAACACCATAAGACACAGAACCAAACTACAATCAGAACCACATTCCCAATTGGATTCACAATCAGAATCAGAACCACATTCCCAATCAGATTCACAGTCAGAATCAGAACCACATTCAGAATCAGAATTACAATCAGAATCACAATCAGAATCAGAACCACATTCAGAATCAGAATCACAATCAGAATCAGAGCCACATTCAGAAACAGAAACACCATAAGACACAGAACCAAACTACAATCAGAACCACATTCCCAATCGGATTCACAATTAGAATCAGAACCACATTCCCAATCGGATTCACAGTCAGAATCAGAACCACATTCCCAATCGGATTCACAGTCAGAATCACAATCAGAATCAGAACCACATTCAGAATCAGAATTACGATCAGAATCACAATCAGAATTACAATAAGAACCATTATAAGAATCACAATAAGCATCAAACTGACAATCAGAACTTCCATCAGAACCTTAATCATAATCACAATCACATCTCAGCACTATAATCACAATGTCAGTCAGAGTCACAATCAGACACAAAGAGCCACAATTACAATCAGAACCACAATCACAATGAGAATCACAATTAGAATCAGAATCACCTTGAGAATTGGAACCACATTCAGAATCAGACAGAACCACAAGCAAAATCACAGTCACAATCAGAATCAGAACCACATTCCCAATCGGATTCACAGTCAGAATCAGAACCACATTCAGAATCAGAATTACAATCAGAATCACAATCAGAATCAGAACCACATTCCCAATCGGATTCACAATCAGAATCCGAACCACATTCCCAATCGGATTCACAGTCAGAATCAGAATTACAATCAGAATCACAATCAGAATCAGAACCACATTCAGTAAAATTATCTGGCAGTACAGTGAGATAATTTTACTTAATAAAATATTAAATATAATAGTAAATATTTCCAGAAATAAGCTACATAATCTTATAATAAGAGCTCAATCATCTCAGAATGGGAAATATTAGATATATCGACTAGATTTAAGATCATTTCACTTGACAAGAGACCATTTTCTGCAGTGACATCACTGATCACGTGTGCTTTTGGAAAGTAAATGACGCAGCAATGCAGTGCTTCAACATCGACATCACTACTCGTGTAGGAAATAAGCAAGAAGTCCCAGCTGAAAGGGGCTCCGTGTCCCCGCGGTGAGCCAGGGAGGGTTCTAGATATAGACACTGCTTTCCTGGAACACTGATATATCAGCCAGAGCACAGCGTGAGTGCGAGGGGGGTAAACAGACGTCTCTGTTTCAGAGGAAGTAGATGGCGGGATAGAGTTCAGCAGACGTGTGAATACCAGGCAACGTGTTACTCACTGTAATGACCCCCACACCAGACTGACCCTGGGGGCAACTGGAGTGAATCTGCCCCTTTAGCCACTTTCCTACCCCTCCTGTACTCTTCTGATCAATTCTACGTTGTCTATAACACTTAATCTTTACCGCAGTGCTCAGCCAGACAGACACAATCATCACAACACACACTGATCAGCCACTTCATTAAAACCAACTCCTTGTTTCTACACTCACTGTCCACTTTATCAGCTCCACTGACCACATAGGAGCACTTTGTAGTTCTACAATTACAGACTGTAGTCCATCTGTTTCTCTGATACTTTGTTACCCTGTTCTTCAGTGGTCAGGACCCCCACAGGACCCCCACAGAGCATGTATTATTTGGGTGGTGGGTCTTTCTCAGCATTGTGGTGTGTTAGTGTGTGTTACGCTGGTGCGAGTGGATCAGACACAGCAGTGCTGCTGGAGCCTTTAAACTCCTCAGTCTCGCTGCTGGACTGAGAACCAAGGGCAACCAATATAACCTGTGCAGCAGCAGATGAGCTGTCGTCTCTGACATTGTGCTTCCATTTGCTGGCCACTTTACTAGAAACACCCACATTGTGAATCCATTAACTGGCCACTTTATTAGAAACATCTACCTTGTGCTTCTGATGAAGGACTAGAGGATGACCAACACAAACTGTGCAGCAGCAGATGAGCTATCGTCTCTGACTTTACATCTGCAAGGTGGACTGACAAGGTAGGAGTGTCTAATAGAGTGGACAGTGAGTGGACGTAGAACATCTTGGCTGCGAGGTGTACTCTAACCACTGTCCCGAGTAGTTGTTAGGAATGGAAAACGGTGGCGGCAGCGCTATGCAGGACTCTTTACTGCAACAGCAGTAGTTGTGATCATCTCTGCTGAAAGACACAGATCAGGATCAAAACTATGAAACCTACTTTACATTCAGCTGTACTGAAGAGCTTTTCCGATGGCGAACGAAACCCGCTCTTCTCCACTGCAGCACTGATCGATCCAAGATAACTAATATAGCATAGCTAGCTAACGCACTTCATCTAAAATCAGCTGGATTTAAGGATCGAACTGTTAAGGTGTCACACATTAACGCTATCAGCTACTTCTAAGTAGGTTACTCAGTACAGTATCCGACTTGGTATCACCCAGTACTTAAAAATATGTACTCATAGTCATCCTGAAAAAAATGATAAGAAAAAGAAGAAAAAGTTGCAATACAAATTCCTCATACATACAGAGTGTTTGGCCAAATATAATGATTCAGATTCTGAATATTGTGCTGAGGCTGAGGCGAATGTCTAGATACAGCAGGTAAAAATAAACTCTACATTTCAGCAGAGAGCACTTTCTCACTTTCTCTCCTCAGAGAATTCGCACGGTGAAGGTCACTGACCCCTTTTAGAAAGCTCAAACTGCTGACAGTAACAGAGTGTGGGCAAGCTGATTATGTAGAACAGGCACACACACACACACACACACACACACACACACACACACAGCCACTCACTCACACACACAGTCGCAAATTACACCCAGATATTTATATACAAATATATAATATATATACACCGATCAGGCATAACATTCTGACCACCTCCTTGTTTCTGCGCTCACTGTCCATTTTATCAGCTCCACTTACTATATAGGTGCACTTTGTAGTTCTACAGTTACAGACTGTAGTCCATCTGTTTCTCTGATACTTTGTTAGCCCCTTTTACCCTGTTCTTCAGTGGTCAGGACCCCCATGGACCCTCACAGAGCAGGTACTATTTGGGTGGTGGATCATTCTCAGCACTGCAGTAACACTGACGTGGTGGTGGTGTGTTAGTGTGTGTTGTGCTGGTGTGAGTGGATCAGACACAGCAGTGCTGCTGGAGTTTTTAAACACCTCAGTGTCACTGCTGGACTGAGAATAGTCCACCAACCAAAAATATCCAGCCAACAGCGTCCTGTGGGCAGCGTCCTGTGACCACTGATGAAGGACTAGAGGATGACCAACACAAACTGTGCAGCAGCAGATGAGCTATCATCTCTGACTTTACATCTTCAAGGTGGACTGACGAGGTAGGAGTGTCTAATAGAGTGGACAGTGAATGGACAAAGCGTTTAAGAGAAAAGAGAGAGAAACGACAGCAAAAAAGAGAAAGGAGAGAGATAGGAGAAAGAAAGAGGAGAAAAGAGAGGGAAAAGAGTAAGAAACAGAGCAAAAAAAGAGAGGGAAAAAGGGAGAAAGACAGAGACAGAGAGAGGTAAAGAAAGAGAAGGGAGAGAGAAAGTAAGACAGGACAGATAAGAGGAAAGAGAGTAAGAAAGAAAAAAGATAGCAATAGAAAGAGAAGAAGAAATGAGAGAGAGAGAGAGCGAGAAAGAGAGAGAGAGAGAGAGAGAGAGAGAGAGAGAGAGAGAGGGGACTGTTTTTCTTGCAGGACAGGCTGATATAAGATACGGGGGTCAGATTTTTCCCGCTCTGTGTCCGGCCGGTTTCCTCTGCTGCTCCATTAGTTCCTGTTTTTCGTCCCACACAGAGGAAAATACGACTCTGTGCATGAACACCCACACAGCTAATTCAATAACAGTGCATTATTAATGATATTCCCTTAATGTGTTAATCATTTATAGCTCATATCTATATATGCCTTTTATTCGTGAACACTTCACCGAGAAATGAGCGTAAACAAAACTGGACTGTTTATGTGGCGTGTGTAACTGTCTGTGCGGCTCTTTTAAGGAAACTGCAGTAATGAATAATGAACACAGCACTTCAAGTGTTTATCCCACAGCTGGCCACTGCGGGCAGTAAGGGTCAGGTGTTCTTGCTGCCTGGGTCACTGCCACAACAAGGTCTCGTGTTATGGCGGATGTAAATCAGTCTGAATATAGCTCTGCCTCTCACACACACACTGCCAATCACGCTGCGCTCGGAGTGTGAGACGTTACATCATCCTCAGCTGAGGCGCGAGTGACGTTTCTTACATGCTTTGTGGCTAAACTAACGTAGAAACAGCACGGCTGCAGACTTAGCACGCAACAGCGGCCACGACACTGTCTGACGGCATGAAACTTGATGATGGGCTGCAGTGCGAAATAAGCGCAGCCGCCTCATTTTGATGAACCAATCAGGTAAGAGTCCACTGGTTTCATACAGAAGTGTTAGTAGCCGTTTCTAATAAAGTGGCCAGTCAGTGGAAGCACAAGGTGGGTGTTTCTAATAAAGCGGCCAGGGAGTGGAAGCATAATGTGAGTGTTTTTATTAAAGTGGCCAGTTAGCGCATGTACAATGTGGGTGTTTCTAATAAAGTGGCCAGTCAATGGAAGTACAATGTGGGTGTTTCTAAAAAAATGGCTATTGAGCGGAACCACAAGGTAGGTGTTTCTAATAAAGTGGCCAATTGTTCGAAGTACAAATTAGATGTTTCTAATAAAGTGGCCAGTCAATGGAAGTACAATGTGGGTGTTTCTAATAAAGTGGCCAGCAAGTGGAAGCAAAAGGTAGATGTTTCTAATAAAGTGGCCAGTTAGTGGAAGCACAAGGTGAGTGTTTCTAATAAAGTGGCCAGTCAGTGGAAGCACGAAGTCAGAGACGATAGCTCATGTGCTGCTGCACAGTTTGTGTTGGTCATCCTCTAGCCCTTCATCAATGGTCACAGGAGGCACTCTTAAAAAAGATGGTTCTTCAAGGGTTCTTTAGTGAAGAGAATGGTTCTATATAATACTATGAATACCATACAGAGCCATTTGCATGATTACATGGTTCTCTGCATGGTGAAATGGTTCTTCAGATTGATGGAGAATGTGTAGTATATGGTTCTATATAGAACCTTTTTGAACGTGGTTCTATACAGCACCAAAAAGGACTCTATCATAACAAACTTGTAACAATAGCAGAACCCTTTTTGGTGCTGTATAGAACCATATACAACACATTCTCCATCTGAAGAACTATTTCACCAAGCAAAGAACCACTTAATGTTCATGGTAATGGCAGTAAACGTTTACCTGAGTAGAAGGTGTTGATTTTGGACAGCTCCTTCTCACAGGTCTGAAAAAACTTCTCCTCGAATTTGGCGTAATATCGCTTCACCGTGTCCTCGTCCGTCACTGAAACACACAGAGGGACAAAATAAAATAAAAATAAATGCAGTAAAGAACACAACCAGTGAACCGATCAGGAAACTCTAGCTTTTAGTTTTTCATTCTTTTCAAGCATCTTATTATCGTTTTTATGGTATTACAATGCAAAAAACTGCCAAAGGAATCACAATGATTCACCACAGAAATGACTTAAAGCAAGCAAAACATCTGAAGCATGTTATAACATTGTTACGACAATCTCATAATGAGAAATATGAAGTATACCGGCTGATGAATTCACTCAGAAAGATGTCAGTTTGAATGATCTTGTTTCTAATCATCACTTTTATTTCATTTTTTCAGCACAATCTGATTGAAATAAAGGCTGGATTGACTGAATGAATGGATGGATGGATGGATGGATGGATGGATGAGTGAATGAATGGATGGATGGATGGATGGATGGAAGAGTGAATGGATGGATGGATGGATGGATGGATGGATGGATGGATGGATGGACGGATGGATGGATGGATGGATGGATGAGTGAATGGATAGATGGATGAGTGAATGAACAAATGGATGAATGGATGGATGGATGGATGGATGGATGAGTGAATGGATGGATGGATGAGTGAGTGAATGGATGGATGGATGGATGAGAGAATGGATGGATGGATGGATGAGAGAATGGATGGATGGATGGATGGATGAGTGAATGGACAAATGGATGAATGGATGGATGGATGGATGGACAGATAAGTGAACGGATGGATGGATGACCTCCAAAAGTCCTTCAGATGGTTTTTCAGTGAGTGTAAGAGTGGCACAGCTACTATTGAAGTGCTTCTTTTAACAGCCTTCACACACACACACACACACACACACACACACACACACAAACACACGCACACACACACACACACTCACACACACACACACACTCACACACACACGGATGTGAAAAGATCTTTGGAGCTTAAGAGAACATCCCAGAGCTCATCTATCTATGGATGAACAATCTGGGGAGAGAGAGGGAGTGAGAGAGAGAGAGAGAGAGAGAGAAAAAGAAAGAGAGAGAGAGAGAGAGAGAGAGAGAGAGAGAGAGAGAGAGAGAAAGAGAGAGAGGAAGCTGTCCAATTTGCTACACTGGACACTGAAAGCTTCAACCAGTGTTTAAGCCCTTCAGACAGCTCCAAATCAGCTCAGCTCAACTCTGTTAAGTTCAAATCAGGTCAACTCAATTCAGCTCAACTTACTAAAGTTATACTCAGCTTAGACTTAATTTGATTCAAATGAATTTGACTCAACTCGACTTCAGGTGATTCAAGTCAATTTGGCACAGTTCAGCTCTGCTCAACTCGGTTTGAATCACTTTAATTTGACTCAACTCAGCACTACTGAGTTTGATTCAATACAACTCAACTCCAATAAACTCAGCTCAGCTCAATTCAACTCAGCCCAACTAATTAAGTTTGACTTGACTTGATCGATTTGATTGATTCAGCTCAATTTGACAATCGATTTGTTTCTAATCAATTTGACTTAATTCAACTCAAGTGAACTCAATTCAAACCATCTCAGCTCAACTCAAATCAGTTCAGCGAAATTCAATTCAATTCTACTTAAATTGACTCAATAAACTCAACTCCATTCAAGCCACCGCAGCTCAACTCAAATCAGTTCAGTGAAATTCAATTCAATTTTACTCAAATTGACTCAATGAAAAACCCAACTTCATTCAATCCCTATCAGCTCAACTCAAATCAGTTCAGCTCTATTCAACTCTACTCAAATTGACTCAATAAACTAAACTCTATTCAAGCCACTTCAGCTTAACTCAAATCAGTTCAGTGAAATCCAGTTCTACTCAAACTGACTCAGTGAGCTCAACTCGACTCATTTTGGCTCAACTCAATTCTTAGAAACTTATTCGGCACAATCTTATGACGTTACAATGTTGCCAAAGCATGTGAATCTGTTTATCTTACACGAGTCTATATTAATCACTCAGTCAGGCATGTTGAAGCCTTTGTGAGTTATATCACACGTCCCCCGGGGGGCGTCGCGTTTTCAATACGCTGCTAAGGTTTCTGAGACTGCAGAGTAGCGATGTGTGTCAGATCACTGTTACAGCTGAGGATGGATGAACTTATCTGGCTAATTTCACAGGATTACTAAAGCGCAAGAAAGGCAAGAACACGCTGCATCATCACGGCTTCACGGAGACACAGAGCTCTGTAGTGTGGGGGAGATTTAATCTCCCGTTAGGCTGAGCTGGTGTTGTGGAGGGTGTGAACGATCCACTCTCACGCTGCAGCGCCAGAGCTCGTTATTTTCTGCTTCATTTCCCTGCTTATCTGCGCGTCCTCCTGTTCAGCTGGAACGCCCAGCCCGCTCTCTTTATCGCCTCCATTCAGCGGACGCTTAAATCACACAGATGGAATGGAACTGCAGCGGAGGGGCCGGTCACAGAGCGAGGGGCCAATATGTGCACAGGACAGAGCAGAGTGGGCATTAGATTAACTCTAGGGGTCTGTATGTGGGTCCAAACTTCAATATATCTAAACCACAGATGGGTGATACAATTAAATGAGGAGAGAAACGTAAAGGGCCTATATAATACATATTTCATTTATTTAATTCATATTCATTCTGTACAGTATTTTGAGAGGTGGCACTAATAATGGGTGATATACCAGTTGGAATTCTTCCTAAAGTTTTAGTTACATCAGTTCGACACAAATAAGCACAGATTACATAATATTTTTATATATATTTATATTTTAATTTATAATATATAGTAGTAAATATTAATTATACACCGATCAGGCATAACATTATGTCCTTGTTTCTACGCTCATTGTCCATTTTATCAGCTCCACTTACTATATAGGTGCACTTTGTAGTTCTACAGTTACAGACTGTAGTCCATCTGTTTCTCTGATACTTTGTTAGGCCCCTTTTACCCTGTTCTTCAGTGGTCAGGACCCCCATGGACCCTCACAGAGCAGGTACTATTTGGGTGGTGGATCATTCTCAGCACTGCAGTAACACTGACGTGGTGGTGGTGTGTTAGTGTGTGTTGTGCTGGTCTGAGTGGATCAGACACAGCAGTGCTGCTGGAGTTTTTTAACACCTCAGTGTCACTGCTGGACTGAGAATAGTCCACCAACCAAAAATATCCAGCCAACAGCGTCCTGTGGGCAGCGTCCTGTGACCACTGATGAAGGACTAGAGGATGACCAACACAAACTGTGCAGCAGCAGATGAGCTATCGTCTCTGACTTTACATCTACAAGGTGGACTGACAAGGTAGGAGTGTCTAATAGAGTGGACAGTGAGTGGACACAGTGTTTAAAAATTCCAACAGCACTGCCGTGTCTGATCCACTCATACCAGCGCAACACACACTAACACACCACTACAAAGTGCACCTATATAGTAAGTGGAGCTGATAAAATGGACAATGAGCGTAGAAACAAGGAGGTGGTCAGAATGTTATGCCTGATCGGTGTATCATCCAACAAGTATTGTTATCGCAATATGCAATTGTTCCCATATCGCCCACCCTTACTAATTAAATTAGGAAGAGTTACTATCAGTATCAGAACTCTGTATCGGCAGGTAGGATCAGGTATCCAGTTCCAAAATCTTTACACTGACTTCCAGTTAGATACAGAACAAATTCAAAGTGCTGCTACAGGTCTATAAATCACTGAACGGTTTTGACCAGAATGCATCTCTGATATGTTTGAAGAATCTAAAGTGAGTGAGTCTCTTAGGTTCATGGATTCAGGACAGCTGGTTGAGCCCAGAGTCCAAATAAAACAACAACTGAAACAAACCGCCTGAAGATCTTAGATGATCCCCAATTGTCACAATTTCTCTTCCAATAACTGAGCTCTAAGATTCCTACTGCACTTTACCTTTAATATGCTAATTTTAATAACACCTATGTACTTTGTAATGTTAATAAATCTTAATCATGTTTTATTATTTTTTCAGCTTTTGTCCCTTTCATTTTATTTTTCACTCTTAAGCACTTTGTCTTTCTTTTTCCTTTTGATGACCCATTTAATGCACATTGCATCCATAATGTACACAGATGTTTATATAGAATAACAGCTAACATTAAAGATTAATATCTGACTAATAAGCTTGTAGTTTACAGGGTTAATAATCAACGATTTGTGTAATGATAAAACACAGCTAGAACAGAGTGTGTCTGATGAGTGAGAGCGTGTGTGTGTGTGTGTGTGTGCGTGCGTGTGTGTGTGTGTGTGTGTGTGTGTGTGTGTGTGTGTGTATGAAGAGCAGCACTCTGTAACATTAAAGCCCTCTAACACTCACTCGTCCTCCTCAGGCCATAATTAATGGCATAAACTCCAACTGGAGAGGCTCTACAGTCTCCACAGGCCATCAGCAACACACATTAAACACTCGCCTCGGCCTTCAGCTTCCGGCTCAATCCGACACGTAAGCAGCGTGAATAAAATACAGGCTGCTGAGTTTGCGGGAGGAGAAAAATCTCCAGCATTCTCATCCATCTACACCCCAAAACACACACGGCTAATAAATCCAGAGCTTTCTGCTAATGAAGTCAGACCAGATTCCTGGCAGACGGCGCTCCGCTCCGGAGCAGAGCACGGATATAAGCTGAGCTAAAGGAAGGATGGAGTGGGAATGCTGACTCAGAGGCTGAAACAGTAAAAACACTGTTACAGATTCAGCTGCAGCTGATTTATTAAAGTGAAACACCTCCAGCTTTTAGTTATTTGCATATAATTTATGATATTTAGCAAATTCATTTAGAATGAAGGTAATGCAAAAACATGTTGCCATGAAATGAGGCTTCATAGTAGCTATAATTTGCTAGTTGACAATTGTTAGGGTTCCCATGTTTCACGGTACCTAGTTAACTAGCCAGCTACAGGGGAGCTTCACCAATTTTTCAAAAATGTCTACATAACTAAATGATTGAGACATAAACAAAGTCATTCAAAGTCATTCACAGTTTATTGATC